TGGAGGATCCAACCTCTTTTAAAAATTTGTCCATTTGTAATAATAGAGTATGTAGTGGAGGAAAAAGTCATAAATAGTTAGGTAATGAAAGAAAAAGTCTGTTGATATGTAATGGCCCCTAACTCCACTATGGACTTTAGAGGCAACATGTCGGCCATAAAAAGTCAGATGTAACAAGGCAGAGTTGAGTCTCTCGCCTATAAATAAGTGTCTCAAATTTCATTTGAGAACACATGAATTTGAAATAAAATCCTTTGTATAACATTCTTCCTTTCACAAGATTTTATGCTTTCATATATAATGAGTTCCTAAATATTCAGAAAATAGAAGAAGAAAGATTGAAGGTGTTAATTGATTAAGCGATAGTCTCTCTGGAGCACTGAAAGTTCTGAGAAAAGGCCAAAGCTGTTAGGCGTCAAGGCCATTAAGTCCAGAATTGTGTTGAGAGCATGCGGAATCAGGTAACCCTCTTAATCAAGTGTTTTTATATATATCTTGTTAAAAATTGTTATTAATTCCTTAATACTGCATGGAAATAAATGATTTTTGGAATATGTCATATAAAGAAATATATAGAAATATAAATTGCCTAAAATCATTAATAGAGCAAATTGTTTTATTAACTAAAATATTAAAAGAAAATGAACAAATGTTATTCAACCTAGTTAAAGTTTATATACATAAAGAACGTTCAGTAGAAGATGAGGTTTATTTCCAAATATGTGATGATATCACCTATTCAATTATCAGGATTAAAGAGTTAATAAAGAAAGCCGAATATCAAGCATCCATTCTAAGTGTTCAAATAAGGCTAAGAATTCTAAATATAAGATAATTAAAGATAAAAAATGGAAAACGAATATCATGTTATAGAAAATATAGAAGAACAAGGAATTTATCTATCAGATATATTATTAGACAAGAAAGTAGTAACAAAAGTAAAAAATAAAGGAAATTTAGATCTAGAAAAGAAAGAAGGAATAAATAATGGTATACTAGAAAAATTAAATAGAAAAAATATAATACATTACGGAATAATGAATGGAGAATAACTGATGAAAATAGAACAAGCAAATTATAATTTTCAAGCACCCTTAGTTGAAATAAATCAAATAGAAAAAAGATTAGAAAAAATAAAAGAAGGAGATAGGAAAAAGATAAGTTATATACATATAAACACGGTACAAATAGTATTACGATCAACATTTAGAGAAGGAATAAAAACACCTGTAAACATAAGAGTTGAAGATAATAGAATTATGCATAAAGAATCAAGAAAGTTAGGAGAAATAGAAGGAGATTTAGGGTATGGAGTAATTAAATTTAACATATCATTACAATTTCCTATACCATTATCAACCAAGAAAATTAATAATTGTATAGGAATAATATGTAATTTTCAAGAAAAAACATTAATGGAATCAGGAGATATACCTATGGTTGTTTGTTATAGAATAGCTTATGCATTAAGTAATAGTAGTTTAAGTATGAATTATCAAAACCAAGAAAGAATATATACAGAAAAATTATTCAATGAAACCAGTACTATCATTAAAAATGATAGAATTCAAAAAGAATTTTTAAGAGAACATAGTAGACGATCATTTAGTAATCCTACAAATTTAGGAAAAATGATTGAAAATAGTTTATTAAAAATTCAAGAAATTGAAGAACCTCATAGTAGCAATAGTTTATATAAAGGGGATAAAGAAATAGAAAAATTAAATAAACAGGTAAATGAATTAAGCTCATTAGTAATAAACTTAAATAATAAAATATAAAATGGAAATGAAAGATATAAATCTTGAATTAGCTGAACTTTTCAGAAAAGAAATCAAAGAGATAGATTATTTAATAGAAAAAACAATTCAATATTTATATATAGAAAAAGATGAACAAAAACTAAAACAGTTAGATTGTGATATAAAAAGACATACACAAAAATCTAAGAAATTACATAAAATAGGACCACCTAAAACGATAATATAAAATGGTATCAGAGCAAGGCAATAATTGAATGTAAAAATGAGTATAAGAACAATATATTTTGATATAGAATGGGAAATAAAAAAATAAAAATGGATATAACAAGGTATATTTATTTACATGAAATTACACATTTAGATTTTTATTATGATATGATGATTATAAATGAAAGAAAATTAAAAAGACTAATACAAATACAAAAACAAGTAACAATTGCATAAAATAACCATATAACAAAACTCTAATAAAATATGTATAAAAAGGCTACATCCACACCAAGTGGGTACTACCCGTATGGGTAGCATCGACTGAACCGTATGAATATATGTGTGAATATGAGACAGTTAATTCATAAAATTTACGTCAATCTCGTCACCATCACGTCACCTAGACGTGGCCAAATTCCGGGCCAGTTCACGACCCGGCCCAACCCGACGCGGCGGGTCGGCGGGTCTCAAATTATGGGCCCGTAACCGGACCGACCCATCGGTTTATTGAACTGCCATTTAAAAAAAATAAAAAATAAATTACAACTGTGACCTGCCAGAAAACCCGGGCCCTACTCGACGGGGTCAAAAATGAGTACAACACAACTCGTAACCGACCCTTAGACTATATTTATCCACAACCCAACTCAACTCAACCCCATAATAAAAAATTATTTTTCTCTCCTCCACCTACACAACCCAACTTATAATAGCCTACATATCTTTATCCTCAACTCAATCCAACCCAACCCAACATAATAGTTATTTTATTTTTATTTATTTATTTATTAAATATTATTTACAATACATTTTTTGGTATTGTTTTATCTACAACCCAACTCAATATAATAACTTCGATTGTGTTTCAAAACATATCAAGAGTAGTCTCTATTCATAGAGAATGAAAAATACGAATTTTGATATTTTTTATTATATTTTCTAATATAAAATAATATCAATAATTTGAGTTATTTTATCTTATCATATAAAATTTATAATGACCAATAGAAGAGAGACAAGTGTCCCAATTCACTCCATTTATCTAAAAAGCATGAAAAAAAATTGTACCAAAAAAAAAAGCATGAAAAAAAAAGAAAAAAAAAAGAAAAAAGAAAAAGAGGAGCACGACCGAGTGGCAACCCAAGGTCGCAATGTGACCTGGGTCGCCCAAATATCTACTATTTGCGTTTTTTTTTTTTCCTGGTGACCCAACTTATTAGGTCACCAATACTGATGGTCTTATAGGGTTCCGGACTGATTCAAAAACCGGCAAGGGCGGGCCAGTTCACGGGTCGGGCCAACTCGTGGCCATGTCTAAAGTCACCCCATCGCAATCGTTATATATGTGAATATGTGTGTGTTTATGTGTGACTTTATGCCTTTTCCACTATTCATTTTCTATCTATATATAAAAGCAACACTTTAACTAACTTAATCATCGCAAATTTTATGGCAGCTAGCTGCAAAGAACTCTCCCGATGCTTTGCAGGTCACCAATTAATGATCCTTACAGGATATATCTGGTTCTTCACGGGTTTATAAAGTACATTCTTTATCTCACACACGATAAGAAAATGAAGAATGTGGAAACAAAGAAAAGGATACTCAAATCGATAGGTGGCCATGGGCCACCCGACCCAGCCTAGTGAAGCTGGTTGACCACTGGTTCGTGCCCAACTCGATTTTAACTAGGCCGATTAAAAGTCATGCATTACGACCTAGCTCGGCGGTCTGGGCCAGGCCAATTCGAGAAATAAATGGTACATTTGGGTTTAAATTTTTCCTTTTGGACGCGTCCTGGAGCCAAGTCCAGCACGTCCTGCCTAGTGATTCTCGGCTCAAGCTCGACTATTAAGGCTCGAGTTCGAGACCTTAACGAGCCGAGCTCGAGCTCATTTACGTTTGGCGAGCTCGACTTGATAAAGCTGGAAATTATAATTTTATATAACTTTTTTATAGTTCGACTCGTTAAGGTTCGAGATCGATTCGTTAGACTCGAGCTGGAAGCCTTAGCGAGTTCATTAAGGGCTCGAGCTCGGCTCGAATCTTTTACAGTCCCAGTTTCGCCGGATTGTGTACCCGACCTGGTTCTAGGTAAGGGCCAACTTAGGTTCCGTGTTTTCGAGCCCGAAAACTTGTCGTGCTGGGCCTAGGCCCAGGTCCAGGCCCGGGATTTGGCCACTTTTACTCATACCTCCTCCAAAGAAAAATAAAAGGGAAATTTTC